GGTCTTGTGCTGACGGGGGCCAGCTGAACTGAGCTTTCAAATGTTTTGCCCATCGATCTAGACGGCGTTGCTGAGTATGAATCAATGTGTCGTCGGACTCCTTAATTACCTTACCTACGCCTGCTTTCCTTGGACGTGTACTCCTAATTAATTGGAAGAGATTGCGACTATTATTTATGGAAGTGGAGTCTTGTACGCTTGTTTTGGGGACACAGCATACATCTTAATCGAAAGTTTTAAGGGTTGTAGCTAAGGCAGCTTGTTGACCGACCTGATAGAGTGTGCGGACATTGAACGCGGTTAAGTGAAAAGGGAATTTCGGCTTCAAAAATTCTGTAACTTCTAATTGTTCGAACTTGCTGGTAAAGCGCTGAGTGATATATGATAAGTCTTGTAAAGAGCAGGCGTTGAGAATTAATTGGGATTGAGAGGAAAATCTAGACAGATGAGAAGGGGGGTTTCCAAATTGATGCCTAAGACCTTTGGGCACGGCATGCTTCGCGATTGCCAACACCGACGAAGGGGTTTTTCTTGGGGAACCCTAACCGGAGCGTTTGACTTAAAACTCTGACTCGCAAGGCAGCGGGGCGTAAATCCAACGCAGCAGCGTGAACGAAGCACCCGTGTGGGAGCTTCTAGAGACCTGTCACGCAAGGCCTTATTCTAATCACTGCTGATATATTATTCTTATTCGTATTTATATCTTTTCTGCCCAGCCAATGAACGTAACGGTTTCAAACATATCGTACACTACCCTAAACCACACCGAGATGTGTAAGGTCATTCGGTGACGTAATTGCATCTCTATTCTGCCTATGTAGATGGCCGAGCCCTTCACGCTTAGATTTCACTTGTCTTTCATCTTACGGTTGTTATCTTGCTGACCAGAAAAATTATCTTGACTGCAGTATGTGCAAGCGTACAGATACAGAGAAATGATCATGAGGATAAATTGTGCAAACCCCTGTTTCTGACTTTCCTATTCACATTTGTATCGGGAAAATAGTGTTTTCAGATTTTCTTATCTTCCCCTTTTTTATTATTTTCGTTATTAATAATATTAGTATGACTATTCTGTCTGACTGCTTTGCACACCACATACCAGATCAATTAAAAAATCTAAAACAATGTTAAACTTTCATGAGCGATAGGATACCGGTAGATTATCCCCATAGAAGTAGTGAATGTGGAAGATGGAAACTAGGAGTGCGATATCGCATACTCAGCTAGCATTATATTCAATGCACTCAACCAATGACGATCGTGATATCAGATGACACTGGCATAGTAACTGGCCAATCACGTTAATGCGAGGTAGCAGTGACAGCTGTGCAGTGAGTGAGTGAGTAAATGAAAAACGTTTAAGTGATCGAGCGCAGGCTACGTCCTACGGTGGGCGTGAGCACCCGGTCAAAGATTATGGAACGTGCTATGAGTGACCGTATTATTATAAGATCAAACTCGGAGTTATGTGAAAAAGTAACGTCAACCAATGACAGACCTTCTGGTTTGACCTCTACAAACAAACCTCAGTTCATTCAGTCGACCATAATAATTTTTCGTTACACAAGTGAGGTTATTGCAAATTTGCGAAAAAAAATCGCAAATTATGATAGTCATTAAGTAAAGGATGGTGGTGGGGCAGTGGTTTAGTCGCTGTCAAAGGCGTGCTTTGAACCTTATGGTTCGAGGTTCGAGCCCCACCGTCACGACTTTGGTGACAGGCAGCTTTGCTGTCGCCCGGTTCAATACCAAGCCTAACCCAATGGGGTCTAATGTAGTTCACCACTCCAAGTCCCGGGGATTAGGTTACCGGTTTTCATCACTGAACAGCAAATCCTCGTGACTATGGGGTTCTCCCCGTCTGTTGTTTATCACACGAAAGTGTGATAAAAAAATGATTGCTTATTTTTGCCCCTAATACTGTTTGTTTCATTAGGGAAAAGTTGCCACTTTACAATTAGATTGATGTATTGCAGAAGTCCGCAGATGGGAATAGATACTCACCTGATCCGTGTAACGATGAATACCCTGCCGAATTATCGGATCCGGTTTGAGAGATGAGATCTTTAAAGGATTTTTTACCAATATACTACACAACTGTTGCCATAGTTGGAATTTCGATTTTCCCTGACGGCTGATAAAGTTGTCGTCATTGATAATCTCGGCCAGCTTCATACTGGCTTCATTCGCATTGCCGTTTCGCATGAGAAACTCGATAAACCGTTCCATATCGTCCGGGGCAAACTTGACGTAACGTCGATAGATTCGAAGACATGTTTCGTTCACACTGCTCCCGTGCTTGTCCGCGAATCGCAAATAAAACATCCAGATTCGATCGTGCTGTGTGATCGGGAGCGCTTTCAGGGCTCGGTCAAA